TTGGGAAATTAAACAATATGTTTGCAAAAAACCAAATAAATGGCACATATGCCCAAACAAAGTCTGCTTGTGAATGTTTATCATTATTTTATTCATAATTTCCAACACTTGGAAGCAGCCAAGATATCGTTCGGTAAGAGAACGTATAAACAAGCCCTGGGATTTTCACATATTAGAGGATCTCGTGGCGACTACAGAGGGTCTGTGTCTGGACACTGATGTGTGCTTGTGACGCAGGCACTCAGGCCCCTGACCCGGCACATGTACGTAAACACTTTGACGTGCACATGTGGGAGTCAGGGTCTTTCTGGGGGCTGGAGTTCCAGGATCAAACGCAGGCCGTCAGGCTGGGCAGCTCAGTGCCTTTCCCTGCGGAGCCATCTCACAGGCTTGGTTTTGTCTTGTTGTTTTTGGAGGTAGCTCGGGCTGGCCTCCAATTTTCTGTGTGTGTGTGTGTGTGTGTGTGTGTGTGTGTGTGTGTGTGTAGGGGGATGACATTAAACTTCTGACCCCCCGCCTCCACCTCTCAGATGCTGGGATTACAGCCTTTTATGGGGATCAAACCCTGGACTTTTGTCATACCAGGCAAGGGCTCACACTTTACCACCTGAGCCGTGTTCCCAGGCCGGGCCTGGATTATATAGCAAAAACCTGTCTCAAACTAAATAGAAAATCTGGGGAGGAGAGGGCTCCACTGTTGAGCCCTTTCTGCTCGTTTGGAGGACTCAGGCTCTATTCCCAGCTGTGATGTATAATTTCACCACCAACCTCTGTGGCAATGCATCCCAACCTTCCTGTTAACCCTTTAACGAAGCTGCTCATGCTGTGGTGACCCCAACCATTACTGTTGTTGCTACTTCATAACTGTAATTTTGTTAAATATCTGATATGTGACCCAAAGGGGTCTCAGCCCACACACAGGTTGAGAACCAATGCTCTGTGGGCACCAGGCTTGCACTCGGTACACTCACATTCAAGCAAAACACTCACACAGATTAAAATAATTCATCTTAAAAAATAAGTGTTTTTCAATCTGTGAAGAAGCCATAGCAAGACTTGCAGAGGGCTGGGCATGTAGTGGGGTTGGCAGAGTCCTTGCTGAGCATTCATACAGCCCTGGTTAGATTTCCAAATGACCCGGGTGCGTAGACAAGGAGGCCCCAGCAGGAGGGGTGGGAAACTCAATCCTGCCTAGGATGCATGAGGCACAGAGGAAAGCTACACGTCTGTCCCTAAGTGATACAGGGCTTGAGAAACTACAGGTATGTTTCTTCTAGGAGATGAAGGGCCCATCCGAGGGAGCTCCATCAATGTGTGGTTCTAATCACGTGACGTTCTGGAGGAAGCGAAACTATGGGAACAGTAGGAACATCCCTGGCCAACAGCTGCTGAGGGACAGGCACCACTTGGGGACTTTCAAGACAGCACTGACCCAGACGACACTGTAGTGGCTTTACATACCGTGACAAGCTTTCAAGCCCACAGAACTTACAGTACAGGCGGGAAACGTATGCTGTTACTGGCAGGTCAGTTAGGGAAGTTGTGTGTCAGAGTGCTCTGTACTTTCCCACGATTTTTGCTGTAGCTTCAAACCGTTCCCTTTCCATATGTGTGCGTGCGTGCGCGTACGTGTGTGTATGTATGTGTGTGAGTGTGTGTGTGTGTGTATGTGTGTACCAGTGTATGCATGTGTGCTTGCTTGTTTTTCTTTTGGTACTGGAGATTGGACCCAGGTCCTTGTGTGTGTAAAACACATGCCCTATTACAGAGCTACTACACCCTTCCACCCCGTGGTTAGGGCCGGTGAGGTGGGTCTGTGGGTAAAAACACCTGTTTCCAGGCTTGACGGCCTGTGCTGACGGCCTGAGTCGGGTCCCCAGCATCCACCGGCGCAGAAGGAGAGCAATGACTTCAGGAAGTTGCAGGTGGCTACAACGAGGAGCCCACCTGGCCTTTATCACAGATAATAGAAGCGAAAGAGAATGCAGGCCATTGGGGAAGTGAGGACGGGCTGGAAGGGGCAGGTGGGGCTCACCCCGGCCAGAAGCATGCCTGAGCCAGGCCTGGTAACGCTTGCTCTCTGGAGTCTGTGCCTAAGGCAGATGATGCATCTTGGGAGGCTCTCCAAGTCTCCTTTGAACACACTCAGTGGGTAGAACCATCCTATAATTACCATGGGGATAATTAGAGGCACTTTCATGGTCTCTTTCAACAAATATTACACAAGCTATGGCCCTCTCAACTTGGGGGTAGGGTTGGAGGAGAGTGAAGCACCTCTCCTGGGGGATAGCCAACACCTGAACCCTTGCCAAACACACCTGACTCCCCGGGCGAGGCCCAGAGTTGCGCGGATATGCCTGGGGCGGCTCCAGCTCTAAGTACTGGCACAGGCACTCAAGCTGGGGAGCTTCCAGCCAGTGCTCCGGCTTCTAGTTTATTGCAGAGTGGCCTCCCCAGAGGATTGCAAGCTTGTGGAGATCTTGACGGTTACCCAGAGATGCCATCTACATACTCTTAGCCTTGGGTAGTCTAGGCACAAGACTCCGGGATCTCTTCATCTCCGGGGCCCATGTTCACAGGGCTTCCAGGGTCTGGATGACCTCCCAGCCCTACCGAGTGCTGTCGAGTGCTGTCTGGTACTTGCCATAGACCTCATGTGTTTTCCTAAGATACACTTGGGGAGCCCCTGGTTCAGATCTGTACCCTATACCTCCATCAGGTCCCATTTCCCTCCTTCCTTACACCATCCCCCACTGCGTAACTGGGTAGCGTGGAGTCTTCAAAGGCTTTGACATTTTCTCAGCCACTCCTGTTCCGTTCACCTCATCCTAACTTCTCGCTTGACTTAATCTCTGTGACTCACTGGGAATCAAAGCCTAGGAGAATTGCCCAGAGCACCCGCTTGTCATTTTTGTTTCATTAGCGACATGTCTGGTTTGTTTTGTTCTTAGTTCCCCTGAGAAAGAGCTTTGGCGCCTCCCCCAGCCACTCCTGCTATGGCTTTGGGCCTTTCCCATGGGATCTGAAACCTCACTCGCTGGGCTTGGAGACTCAGAATGACCCTGTGTCACGCTTAAGGTCACAACTGGCTTTTCTGTAGAAGGTACCTAGGAGGACTGTCCGAGTTCCACAAACGTCAACAATTTGGGCTCTTTGCTGTCCCCCACCACCGTGACCCCTGTGGGGGGCGTGGCTGGGCAGACGCTTCAGGGCTGGCTGGTACCTTTCTGAGTGGTTCAAGAGGCCTTGGACTAAACTCTCCCAGACAGCTTTTCTTGGGCTTTCTCTCTGGTGACACTCAGAAGGGGACACATAAGAGGCTGGTTCTGGCGCCTGGCCGTTGACGGAAAGAAGGAAGGCCAAAAGTTTGCAGGAACTGTGTCCTTGGCCATCTCATGAAAGGCTTCCCCTTGGGGACCAGGCAAGCAGTATCTGTATGGGTAATGGCCGACTGATCTTTTTTGGAGATAGCTTTGGGGTGTGGTGTTCCCTGTAAGCCTGGGCAGGCCCTGGGAAACTGGCCTAACACTGGGTGAGCCGCAGAGGATCCTGGGTGTGTAGGTCACCAAGTGTGCAAGCAGTGCTCTCCGTGAAGGGGGAAGAAAGGGGACCTCCAGGAAGAGCCAACCGTGTTTCTGGAACCTGATCATTTTCAATCACAAGCATCATAACTGAGAGGCCTAGGGAGACCCTTCAAAGCCTGGCCTCCACCCTACCCACCCTTTTAGTGTCTTAGGTCAACAGCCTATAGCACAACTCGTCCATCCCCCGCCTGGTTCCAAGCTCAGGCCAGACATTCCCATTTCTGGGTCTCGCTGTGTGCTGCTCTCTTGCCAAAATGATTTTTCTCTTTGTAAGCCTCTTGTGGTTTTAGGCTGTCTTTCTCCTGAGAAAATGTTCTCCAGTGCCTAAGGGGAAGGGTGTGTGTGTGTGTGTGTGTGTGTGTGTGTGTGTGTGTGTGTAGGGGGTTCAGTTCCTTGCACCATGCCTTTTCTACCTAAGGCCTAGGTTCCTGAGGTTGGTCTCTGGTCTATTAGATGACCTTTTTTACTGGTCCCATAGTTACTTTTTCCAGAACTTCATGAAATCAGAGACGTACACTATGTAGCTTTCTCATAGTCTTATATTTAGATGTATGCTTTTCACTTTTCTCCCTGACTTTCTTATTCATTTGCTACAGCGTCTCTCTATGAAGTCTTGGCCTGCCTCTGCCCCTCATCCTCCATCCCCTGTCCCAACCAGCCCCTGCCTCCCGAGTGCAGGAATCAAAGGCCTGGACCACTACACCTGTTCTGTTAGTTTGTTTTTCCTAAGAGGGTCTCACACAGCACCCTACACACTGAGCCATGCGCCCATGCACCCCATCTAAAGCAGCCTGCACCCTTCCTTCCTTTAGCCTCTGTCCCTTTACTCCATAAATAGCTTCATAACTCTGAACCGATCTTCGTGCTCCGGCCGGCCCGAACAACCCACGCCTCTTCCCCCACCCGCACCCCGAAGGAGTCTGCAAGGACCGGGGCCCTTGCAGCTGTCGGAGCGGACGCCTCGCTGTCGCCCAACAAGGACCTGCTTGATCGCTTCTACGAAGACAAGCATGTGGCGCCTGGCTCGGCCGGGGGCCGCCGCGTGGGGCATTTGCAGAAACCCACGCGGGCCCCGCAGCGCGGCGCTCTGGCCCTCCCGATGACCGTTGCCTGGCAGTTGGGGGGGACGCGGGCCAACCGACCCGGGAGGGATGAGTGACAGCCGAGAGCGGCGCGCCGGGCCGGCGGCCTGGAGCGGGGCCGGGCGGAGCGCAGCGCAGCGCGCATGGGCCGCGCGCGAGGGGCGGGGCGGGGCGGGTCACGTGAGCGTGTTTTGGGCACGTGACGCGCGGCCCCGGCTCCCTCCCCTCCCCGCCCCCGCCCGCCCGCCCGCCCGCCCGCCCCCTCCTCCCGCGGCGGGTGCGCTCCGAGCGGCCTCGCCTCCGCCTGGCGCCCCCCGCCGCCGCCGCCGCCGCCGCCATGTCCCCCGGCCGCCGCCGCCGCCGCCCGAGCGCGGCGCTCCCGAGGCCCGGCGCGCACTGAGCGCGGGCCCGAGCCGCCGTCCGCCCGCCCCGGGCCCTTGTTCGCCGCCGCCGCCGCCGCCGCCGCCGCCATGTTGGGTTTGGAGCCGCAGCGGAGCCGCCGCCGCCGCCGCGGCTGACGAGGCCGAGCGCGGAGCCCGGCCCGCGCCGGGGCCCAGGCAGCGGGTTCCCGTCCGAGCCCCGTCGGAGCCCGAGGGCCCGTCCGCCGTGCGAGCGAGCGTCCCGGCCTCCGGGCCCGCGGGCTCCGGCCGCGCCCTCCGCCGCCGGCCGAGCGAGCGAGCGAGCGAGCCAGCCGCGGAGCCCGGGAGAGGCAGCGCCATGGCGGAGCAGACCTATTCGTGGTGAGTGCGGGGCCGGGGCCGGGGCCGGGGCCGGGGCCGGGGCCGGGGCCGGGGCCGGGGCCGGGGCCGGGGCCGGGGCCGGGGCCGGGGCCGGGGCGGCCGGGCCGCAGGTGCGTGCGTGCGTGCGGGGCCCGCGGGGCCCGCGGCCGGGGGAGGGGCGGGCATCGGGCGGCGGGCACCGCGGCCCGGCCCGGGGGAAGGTGCGCCCGGCCTGCCGAGAACAGGCGCGGGAGCACGGCTTGCAAGGGCCGGGCGGCCGGGCGGCAGCCGCAGGCCCCGCGCCCCGGGAGCCTGGCGCGGCGGAGGGCAGCGTGCGCGGATGACCGCATCGCGGGGAGGAGGTGGCTGGTAGCGGTGGGGCACGGCAGTCTTTTGTAAGTGAGGGTCGGCTGCCGACACGGGCGGTGTGCGAGTTTAAGTCCCTTTTCCGTGGCGCCCTCCGGCGTGTTCACGGCCGGGGGCGCTTTTGCTCGTAGTTTACAGGGCGTGACAAATGCGTCCCGGTGAGGGAGTGCCAAGTTTGGGGTGCGGGGGTGGGGTGAGGGGTGCAGAGGTGTGGAGTGTGTGCAGGGGAGGGACGTTGGCCGTGCTCGGGACACAGTGGACGTGGTGTGGCGGGGGTGGGGGGGATGAGCAAACGAGGGATGGGTGGTAGGCTGCAGGTGTGCGGCGGGGAGCCTGTGGTTGCAGTGTGGGGAGGCTGGAAGCACCTGGTTTTTGTGACAGAGCTGCAGACTTTCCCTAGGGTTAGTTAGGGTTGAAGGTCCGCTTGGTTTTGTCATTGGAAAGGTGAGGTCTTGATTCCTTTCCCCTGAATTATAAAAGTACGAGGGTTACCCTTTGAACAGCCTGTGCGGGTTAAGTGGATACCTTCACAGACTGCCGAGCGTCAGAATTATGATGGAGCTACCATCGTCGTCGTGGGGAGACAAGAGAAATGGGTTATCTGTGAACACAGATCAGGAACTCATCGTGGTTGCAGAGAATTCAGTAACGCAAGCTTGAGCGATGTATACACAGCCTCAGAAAGAAGATGACTGAGAGGAAGTAACTAAGAGAAAAGTTAGGTTTTGGTTGACCACGGTTGTGTTTTAAAAGGACAAAGCAATGGATACTTTTGGGCAGCAGTGGGGGCAGGTGGTGTGGGACACGGGGTTATAGTTTGCTTTCCTGAGGTTGGATAGGAAGGGAAGGTGAAGGTGATACTGAGAAAGGGCTGTGGGAAGGTTGAAAACATAACACAGTGCTCAGGAAATGGGGAACCTTCTGTACTTGGTGGTACACAAGCTGGCCTGGGCTACGAAGAGATAACGCTGTCTATTAACACGGAAAGCTAAAGTGTCTTCCGGTGCCACTCGTGGGCCTACCGGTTAAGGGAGACTGTGCCATCCACTAGTAAGGGGGAGCCTGCTTGTGAAGGCTGAGCATTTACAAGACCTGGTCTCTTGAGATGCTTCCTTAGGTCTCAGCTGTTGACTTTAGTCCGGGAAGCAGCTTTGGCATCAGGATGCTCTGCCTGTCCATTCTAGCATGTGTTCAGGGGCAGACAGCCCGAGGCATCCCATCTGGACAGAGGGTGGGGAACTAGGCTCCTTCCCTCGTTCACAGTTCTTCCCAAGCCAACCAGGGAGCGGAAAACTAAACCGTGTTTGCGTGCAGTTGCTTAATCACCACTTGTCTGTAAGGTGGGGAAGTCATCCCCTTTTTCAGAGGAAACACGCTGAGGGGATCAAGAGAAAGGGCCTGACTGTGTGGCCTGTGAGTTCTCTCTCCACTTCACCCACTCTGACAGAAATGCCAGTGAGGAAGGTGTATGCTAGATGTACATTTAGGAAAATGTGTAGTGTGACCCTGAGTCCAGAAGGAATGCAGTATTTAAAAATAGGTTTATGTTATAGAGTGACATGTAAGTTACATACAAAACAAGATTGCTAGGATTGATAAATACTGCGATCTCACATGTTCGTTATTTTACTCTGTTGATTTGTGCATATTTAACTGTTTTATAATAAAATTTAAAAACTTGAACTCTGCCTGTAGGATTGTATGTTCTAGTTTCTTGTAAATGCCTGTTTCCTAGAAGATGCTCGAGTCCCATCCCAGTCACGGTTCTTTCTGCTCGCTCCTGAAGGTGGTCGGTTGTCTCAGTTTAGCAATGGGGCCCTGGCTGCGTCTTCACTCCTTGCATCTCGTGTAAAAACAAGCTCACTAAAGTGACACTAACCTTTGTTCCCTGGTGCCTAATGCACTGGCTGGCACACAGCTTCTGCCCAGCAAACACTGTGATTGACGTGAGTTATCGTCCCTTGAAAGAGCGATGAGTAGGAGGCTGGGCCACTGCAGGACTCCTATCTGCTGGCTTTCCTGATGTCCCTCCGTTCTCACCAGAGCACACACACACTGACCTGGAACTTGAACTCATCTGGATGCTGGGATGGCAAGCCTGCAGCACCCCCACCTTTTAAAGTGGGAGATAAAAGCTGTTGACAGAAGTTAAAGCAGTTGATAGGGACACCAGGGTCTTCTTTATGTAGCTAAGACTGACTTTGAATGGCTGATCCCCCCCTACTCTGTGTAGCTCTGTAGACCAGGCTGGCCTTGACCTCACAGAGATCCGCCTGCCTCTGCCTCCCGATTGCTGAGATTAAAGTGGGTGCCACCTTACCTTTTCCTCTTCGGTGAGCACCGGCACAAGTACCACATTGGTTCACCAGGGGCTGGGATTAGACTCAGAGTTTAGTCATTCATGCTAGGCAGGCAGGTACCCACTGAGCCACATCCCAGCCTCACAAGGGCCTGTCCACAGATTAACTGCAAGGCTGGTTTCCGTCATTTTTACCCACAGGGAGGAAGGAAAAGGACACATGCAAAAGCAAATTGAAAGTTAAAGGACAACGCCTGCCCAGCGTATACTTATGAGCAGTTGCTTCAGTGTCAGGGCTGTGAGAAGCCCCGGCGGAGCTCTTGGGATGAGTGCAGCCCTTGTGCGGGGTTGTACTTGAACCTGCTAACGGTTGCTCGTGCCTGCGCACTGTTTCTGTAGGCCGTCTTCCTGAGACATAAGCGAGTCTCATTACCAAAGAACTAGCATATAATTCATTTTTTTCCCGTGTGTTCATGATTTGAGGATTGCAAAGGCAAAAACTGGGTCCCAAAGACTGTAAGGAAGGGCTGATCAGTCGGTGAAACTGACTGCCTTACAGGCCTGGCTGTCTGTAAATACGGGAGAAGAGAGCCAACTCCACAAAGTTGTCAGTGCCACATCCAGACAAAAGGAAAGATCCTAGAAGTATGTAAGTAACTCACACAAGGATACAAACCATAAAAGGGTTCAGAGTCATGACTGACTGACAGTAATTCAGGCAGAGACATCTGAGCAGAAGGTGAGCCTGGTCTACACAGCCAGTTCTGGGACAGCCAGAGCACATAGAGACCTGAAGAAAAGAGCAGAGCAAGGAAAAGCGAATAATCTGTAAACACAGAGCTTAGGACTCAGGGCAGAGGCAGGAGGAGTTTGTGTTTGTGTGTGTATGAGAGAGAGATGGAAAGCTTTTGCCAGGCAGTTGTGTGTTAAATGGAATAAGGCTTTAATAGGAAATCTGGTTAGTGATTAAAAAACACCGAGTCTGTCTTATATGTTCCCACAGTCATTTTGTAGTAGCTTTTGTCATGGTGCGCCTGTATTGGCCTCCTCTTTGAATGGCTGTTTTCCTGAGTGGCCTTCTAATGATCTAAGTTAGATTATAGCAGTCCTAGGCTAGTGGTTTTCAGCCACATTTGAATAAAATTCCAATTCCTTAGGACATCCCTTCAAGGTCTAGCCTTGTTTCTCTCTGAGAGATGACAAACACCGAAGTAGCTTACAGAAGGCTAAGTTTTTGTGCTCTGTCAGTGAAGAGTGAATGTTGCTGAGCAGACAGATGAGCAAGAGTGCCTTGCAGGCGCTACTGTCTAAACTCAGGTCCAGCTGTGGAGCTGCACCCCTTTGTGGTTTGTGACGGTGGACATTGTCATGTGCAGAGAGTGAAACGGAGGGAGGTCTGCAGAGCTGGAGGTCAGCTTTAGGCTGTCGTATTTGGTCGTCACTGCGTAGCAGCTGCAACTTGTTCAGAACATAGGTTAATTAAAACACATGGGGCTGTGGACTGATTTATTCAAATGTGTTTGCCTGTAGGTTAAAGTGGTAGGATATAACTCGGGTAATACGAGATTTAAACAAAGTTAACACCTTCAATTTGTTTTTAAATCACTTCTCGATTTTATTATGAAGTCTTTGAGGGGAAGAGAAACTGGAGACGGGTGTGTGTGTATGATCATTTCCTTTATAGATAGCAGATGCCGCTGCAGTGTGAGATGTCACACAGTTGCATGTTTCTTCAAACCATTTGATGCAGAATGAAAGGGTGTTTTGTTTTGTAGACCAGGCTGGCTTTGAACTCACAGCTTCACTTGTCCCTGCCTTTGCCTCTGGAGTGTGAGGTTAGAACCCTGTGGGAAAAGTGTTTAGGAGTAACTGACCAGTGTTGCTTTAGTTTGATATTGACATCTGAACACTTATGTAAGTTATTTCCCTGACAATAAGGCTTGAGCGCAATTTGACTTTTAGAGGACTGTAATTTTCTTTTAAATGTTTTTAAGAAGTTTTTTGTTTGTTTGTTTTGGTTTCATTTTGTTTTGAGACAGGATTTCTCTGTGTAGCCCTAGCTGAGGTACTATTGTACCTCGTTTTGTAGACCAGGCTGGCCTCAAACTCCGCTGCCTCCCAAGTGCTGGGGGTTTTAAAGGCAGGAGCCACCACCACTGGCCATGGTCTTGAAGTTTAATGGGTCTTTCTTGGGAGTTAAAATATTGGTTTTATGTGATTCTATAAACTGAGAAGTATCTGTATCACATTTTCTAATCTTAAGGAGTTAGTAGCAGAATGTCTTAAGAGTTTTAACCTTCTAGGTGTCCCAAGGCACTCCCAGGTAACCAAATTCAATTTTAAAGGGAAAAATTTT